AAAAATATTCACAGTCACGTTGCTGCTGAGCGGAGGAACTCCAGAGTCTGTGGCCTGAACTTTGAACTGGAACGTTTTTAACTCCTCATAGTTAAACGACTGCAGACTGATTATCTCTCCAGTTTCTGAGTTGATGTTTATCATTGTAGGGAGAGGCAGTGATTTACTATTAACATCTAAAAATGAGTAGCTCACCTGACCGTTGTTTCTGATGTCAGCATCAACTGCAGTCACTGTTTTAATAACTGTTCCTACTTTGCTGTTTTCTTTCACATAAACATTTACTGTAGATTCTGGAAAATGGGGCGCGTTGTCATTAACATCAGAAACATAGACAATAATAACACTGGTGTTCGAAAGAGGAGGGCTCCCTTCATCGGTAGCTGAAATTGTGACATTGTACTGGGGAGTCACTTCTCTGTCTAGATGTCCGTCAACAACTAAAGAGTAATAGTTCTTGTAATTTGTCTCCAATTTAAACGGAACCGTATTTAGGATCTGACATTTCACGTCACCATTTTTGCCACTGTCTCTGTCTAGAACAGAGACAAGTGCAATAGCAGTACCTACAACAGCGTCCTCATTCACTGTGTTCAGAAGTGACGTCACAGTGATTTCAGGGGCGTTATCATTTACATCTATGACTTCCACCAGCACTTTACTATGAGCAGACATAGGAGGCTGGCCTTTGTCCCTCGCCTCCGCTCGGATCTCAAAAGCTTTTCTTTCCTCATAGTCGATTTTGCCTTTTACTGAAATGACCCCCGTTTCAGGGTCAGTTTTAAAAATATCCAGAATGTGATCCTGATCCTTACTACGAAGAGAGTAGACTATTTCACTGTTCGATCCTTCATCGGCATCGGTCGCATTTAAGGTGAAGATCGCCGTACCAATTGGGGTATTTTCAAACATTTTAATTTTGTAAAGAGTACTGTTGAACACTGGTGCGTTATCATTAATGTCGAGTACATTTATTTTAATTTCTGATGTGCCCGTATTTGGTGGAGAGCCTCCATCTACTGCCGTTAACAGCAGCTGTATATTTGACTTTTTCTCACGATCTAATGCTTTGTGCAGCACTAACTCTGGAGATACACTTTCACCTCCCTTTTGTGTCGCAAGACTGAAATACTCGTTTGGACTGAGCTTATACGCGCTGACATCATTTTTACCCACATCAGCATCGCTGGCTTCCGATAACGCAAATCTAAATCCAGGCAAGGTGTTCTCTGCAATGTCCAGTGTTTGTGTTTTAGTGTTAAAAGACGGAGAATGGTCGTTCACATCTCTAATTTCTATCTCCACGCGGTAAAGCTTTAACGGATTGTTAATCACAGCCTCGACGCTCACGGTGCATTTGGGTTCATCTGTACAAAGCTCCTCTCGGTCTATCCTCTCATTTACATACAGAAATCCGGTCTTTCGATTTACCTCGAAGTATTTCCTTTTAGATGCCACAATCTGAAACAAACGGGACTCCAAATCCTGCACACTGAGGTTCAGATCCTTGGCGATATTTCCGACATTCGTCCCTGGGCTTAACTCCTCCGAAACGGAATAAGAGAGCTGCGCCGACGCCGCTGCCCGGTAACAATCCAGCAGCACAAGAACAAGATATGTAACAATGGACCTCCCGGTAGTCGGTAAAGGCATAATTCCGTCGAAAAAGAAAACAATATATCCACAACTGTGCATCTGCTGTGAAATGATGAGATGTGACAGAATTCAAGGCAACGCTATTTCGGCTTTCTTATGTTTACAGACATATCCTCCGTTCTGCCATCCCTTCTCTTCTCGTGTGTCTTTGTGATGAAAACCACAGTCGTTCGGTTTATACTCTGGGAGGAGCCTTGACATCTTTTATGTTACGGTCTATAGCGTCGCTACGTGGTCATTTGGAGAAACTGCACACGCTATCAGCAAGTGTAAAACACCTCTCAACCATATAATTACGAACGGCATAACCAGGTATAGTCAGAATTTGGATGAATTATAAAATGAATGTCCAATACAGTGTGACAAAGTTTCTGAAAACACATGCATTGGGAGTGTAGTGAAGAATCTGTATCACATATTCTGCGTCAACATCGAGTGCTTCTCCCAAGTGAAACATTGTGTATTTAAATTTGCAATTGTGTAAGCAGAATGCATTAGTCAGACTATTAAAATGTGAACGTTTGCATTATAAAACCCTAAGTTATACGAGATAGATGGACGTTACGGGGGAAAAATATATTGAAAAGACCGTCCTTTCCTATCATTTGCATTCAAACTTTTCTTTTTACACTTTCCTCGACATAATATCTGTAAACTTGCAACTTAGCTTCATATCTTTATATATATATATATATTTTAAAAGTCTATATATCACAATAGAACATACCTATACAGTAAATTATGCATGTGGATTGCAAACTAATCATATGCTGAACATTCTTTCAGTACCATGGACAGCGACAGATTTCTTTTACTATTGTGCCGTCAGGAAGACACTGTAACAACATGTGAAGTCGAAAAGTAGATCTAAGAGCGTTGACTTTTAATTTAACTAAAACTTAGTCCACAACAAAGGCATCTAGTGGCACGATCAATTATGCCCTGTCAAATATAAGCAGAAATGAAGAGCACCATAAAACCAAGCTTTACATGACTTTAAGGCAGAAAAAGAAAGTGTGTGAGTTGTAACCCCTTTTCAAATTAAAAGCAATTTTACCTACAGCAAAAAAGTACTTTCATAGGCAAAGCTGAAAATTATTTGCAGTGAATGTAAGTACTTTCAAGAACTTAAAGCAACCACTTAGGTCGTGCAACTAGAGAACATGGCTATTATTTATTTCAAAATATTTGTGTGTAACAAAATGTACTCGACAATATCTTCACCCCAAAATTAAAAGACCTTTCTNACATTGATGTTGAGATCTTTAGCGATATTTCCGACAACAGTCCCGACATTCGTCTCCTCTGAGACGGAATAAGAGAGCTGTCCGAACACCGCTTCCCAGTAACAATCCAGCAGCACGAACAAGAGATATATCCACACAGAGCTCGATCTGCCCGGTACATTCATAATTCCAAACAGTCAGAGAAATCACATGAAGAAATTTGTTCAGTATCATCAGAAAATAGAGCATGAAGCCCAATCGTAAAATCCACGATATCAGTTTTAAACTGCGACACGAAAATTGCCGTCACGTCCTTCTCCTTCACCCTCTCCGTCTCTTTGTTTCAAACGTCTGCGAAACATCATCATCCTCTGAATCTGGGAGGAGTCCCGATCTACCGAAGAGGAACAACAATGTGATGGTCTACAATGTCCCCGTGTGGACATTTTAAAGAACTACACTCAGCATCAGACTTGTCATATAACAAATACACCGACATAGATAGACCCTAAAATATTTATGTTGAACTCTTGTAAAAATGTTATGATTGTGATCCAGACGGTTGCGGAAGAACATTTCACTGACAAACTAAGAATCCAAAAGGACAACTAATTGCTGTTTTTATATGTTAACACTTTTGAAATCTGACAAAATGCTGACCATATTGTTACATAATCCTCACAATATTTTGTGATTATTCATTTATTTAGTGTTATTTTGTAAATCAACAAGTTCCTCTATGTCTTTGTGAGACCATGTGTTTACAAACCTGCGTTCTGAATCATGAACAGTGACATTTTCTTTAACAAGCAACATTTATTCTGAATTCGAATACCATAACTAAAGAGCTGTCGCACTATTCAAACAAGCTGAATCACTTCCATTCAAATGACAAACATATTTCCAATCTTTTCACTGAGATGGCACAAACACCTTTAATGAAAACTTCATGACATTTATCATCTGAAGTTGAACAGTAATATTGCTAATTTCTTATTGGCCTAGTATTTTCTTTAAAAGCATCTGAATCCGGATGAATGCTTGTCCTCTTAACAACAGCTTTAAAGACTAGGGTAAATATTAAATCTACTTAAAGACCACTAATGAGATCTTTAAAACTCTTTATTACTGGATAAGATATGCATCAGTGCAACAAACAAGGTATACATGCCCTCTGACATTTGCAAGAAGCCCACATTCAGACAAGTACGTTCAGCACCACGGATAGTGAAGCTAAGTGAATGAGGTACCCATACCCAAAATCGCAATGCGCCACAATTTGTCATCTTCGTCCACTTTTCCTTAATATCAATAATAAATTAAACAAAGAGCATTAAAGAAGTATGTCATAAAAAAATAAAAAAAACACACACAAGGTACAAGGGATGCGTACAAACACTAAGAGACTTACCTTTTCTTTGTTGGGTAAAGTCTGAGTTCTGGTAAAAGTATCTCCTCCGTTAATACTGATCAGTTCACCATCTACAGGTGGAAACGGTGCAGGGAAAACCACTAC